GAGAGCCAGGTCCTCGGTTACCCTCTTCTCTGGGATTACATCCTTACAGGATGCGGATCGATGGACGGACGAACGTCGGCGCCTCGAAGGCGCCTCCGCGTGACGTCACGACGCTACCCCATCGACAAACATTTCCCTCGCGTTTGTTTACCCCCCCATCATGCGCCACCACTCCCGCGAGGACGATTCGCCAAGGAACTCTCACGGGTTATCTCGACCTTCTTAAGAGGGCATCCCAGATGGCCAAAAGAGTGCAAAAATAGCGCTTGATGTAGAGAATATAAAGTATAAAAACGAAAAGAAAATATTATTTCGCATATAATATAAAAAGTATATAATTTTAGCACTTTAAATTGAGAGTGGCAAAAGCAGATAAGAAGTTACTTTCGCTTTTCGCAAATTGGACAAATGCCGCACTACGCGTCAATCTGACGCTTCCTCCTCGCACAATCGACCTGCGTGCTAACACTTCCGCTCAGAAGGAGATTTTCCCGTCTCGCGGCGCGCGGCTATGTGGCACGACAGTTTGCGGTTCGTCTGTGGTTTCCGCGAAACCGGCCTTCTCGTCGCGTCTCGCCGCGCCTGATGTCTCTTAGCCGGAAGTCCATTAATCGGTTCGTGTTTCGCGTCGCCCACGAAACTGCCCTTCCTACGCGTACCAAATATTCTGAATGAAAAGCCATCATTTTTCGGACGTGGAAGCGAATCTTTTAATAAATGAGCAAAGAAGATCGTGCACTTGCGATTATGCAAATGATATGGTAATCGCCTTTAGCAATTAATCGATTGACAACCGCGATATCGGATAGTAAGCCCCCAGACAAACACCGCGTTAATCAAACTATGACGCTGCAAAAAAAAACTCGGCCGAAGGTAACAGTGCCGACGAGTGGTTTCTTTCTACCGTGACATTGTCACAGTGTCAATGTCAGTATGTTAATTAGCCTAATGAAAACGTGTGATCCAATTCGACGCGCTTGCCACGCGACAGAAACTGGCACGCATTCACGAGCGAAATATTCTCTCATCAATCCGCGCTGCTTCATTTCGCTTAGAGCCTGGCTAAATGAGCCATCAACGGCCTCGCATTTCGGGAACAAACGTCATTCCATTACTTCGATGTGTCATTATCATGCGCGGCACTCATACTAGATCATAAATCCCGCGGTCTCTTCCTCTCCCATTGTAAAACATCCTATAACATTAAAACGCAAAAACGCAAACGCACGATCATTTTTTTGGAACAGTATATTTTTTCGTATCCGGTTTTTCCATAACTACTATTTTTTCCGCGAGTATATTATTTTCTTTTTAATAATACGTGCAAAGCTTACAGATTAACGTTTGCACAAGTGTTCGATCATGGCCGATTCCATATATCTTCAATTGGACATAGTCATTAAAAATCGAGGCCATGTCATCATCGTCTTAATTCTGCTATCGATCTAAGCGGCAGATATCGAAGTGTGAACTTGCCCATCCAATAGCACTTCGCCAAATGCAAATATTGATGTAGCCTTAATCGTATGCTGCGCTATGCTGTCGAAGCTCAGGAAGAGATGCAAATATACGAGATATTCCCGGAAAACGATTTTTTTAAGAGAGCTTTTTGTGCGGTTAAATATATATAAGAAAAAAAATCACAACCGTTATAGTACCGGAAATGCATATTTATTGAGATGAACGCTATTAAATAAATTGCCAAAAATTTCTTTCTCTCTTTCTACGATTAATATTAACCAAAGTCTTTAAGCTGTCAAAGTGACCATTATTTTGCTGCGTTCAAAGTACAATCTGTCTCAAATGTGACTGTCGCATAATATTGTAACATATGGCATAATATTGTTACTTGCATTACCAACAGAATTCCACAATTCCTTTTGATTTTTAAATGGGTAAACCGACTGCTTTGCTGCGCTTCAAAAGTAAAAGTTCATTAATGGCAAAATATCCGGTGGTTAATTGGATCACTACTTCCACATTATAAAGAAAATTTAACAAAACGAATTATTAGCCTCTACGTAATCTGTGTAGAAAAAGAATTCTTCTAATATAAACACTGAGACATTTGCGTCTTTCAAGAAATTATAAGATATCAGCGAGGATTCTGTTAAACAAAAATACTTTGGTGCAGTTTCTTTATATCGTTTATTATCTGAAATACTTAATGCATATGCATTTCCGGTATCGCGACCTCCTTTTTCTTTACATCGCTTTTTTTCCATTTGATCACCTAAAAAAAGACCACCTTTTCTTTAGAGACACTATATATACAGAGCGATGAAAATAAAGTTCTATTAGCTATCCACAAATTTGAATCTTAATTCGCTGAGACTTTTTAATTTTAAGCTACCTTGAAACTTAAATATACTCTCGCGCTAATTAAGCCTCCGACAACTTTGCCAAGGAAACACGAACTGAAATTTTATTCGTAAGATAAAATATTGTGTATAACGCGCATAAGTACATGTGTAAAAATCGATAATTAACCACAACAATGCTTGTCGTGTAATAAAGTTAACGTTCGATTAAACTTTAATTTTACAAATCTTATGATTATCCGACTCTAACAAGTCTCGTATACATAATATTTGCGCATGGACTCCATTGCAATTTTCATTTTGAGTATGACTATCGCGACCGCTGTTATGTAAACGAACGAAAAACGGGCTAAAATCGCGTATCTCTCCTTCGTTAGGAACGCGTCGAGTCGTGACCCCGCGTGGCCCGGACGGTCGAAAATCCATAACGAGGAAGAGGAGAACACGCGTCAGGTCCGCGTCCAGGAAAGTGGAGCATTTTGAGTCCGTGCGCCGTGCGCTGTGCGACGAAAAACCGGTACAGCATACGAGCATCCTCGATGAGTTTCGAAAGCCGCAAAGCGGCCCGGCCCCCTTCTTAACCACGTCGAGCGTGGGGCACGTGCTACGACACGTCGCACATCATACATGTCCGCAAATGTAATCACGTCGCGCGGATATACGCGAGTAAAGCCGCGATACGACAGAGTGATGCGGCCGCAAGATCCCGCACTCTCTGACGCACAACGGGGAAACTCTACCCGTTTTGAAAAGACCATCAGGCATATATTTTGTACCCGACTAACATAGGAATATCCCTTGCATTTCCGTCTCGGTGAATTCCGAAATTACTTCGAGATTACAAACTCGTTTCAATAGAACCTTGTTCAATAGAAACTTGTCTCCAAATGAAATTTAGATTTTGAGGAAGAAGATGGATATTATCCGAAGCTTCCCACGTAGCTCTCATTGCTTTCTAAATACATTTTCAAGATAAATTCTGCAAGCTAATCCCTTATGCGCGATAATGCAAATCGTCCCAACTAAATCGCAAACAATTCCTAAAGTCCCGAGATATTATTTAGCTGACGATTGTTCAGCGCAGATAATGTCGCAGGCTAAATACCGTACGTCATTAAAGTAAACAGCGAGAAGCAGACTGTGCAAACTGAGACTTCTGCGAGAAACAGTCGTCTGATAAGGCGGTTTATTGTAGCCGGTATAACTCTTGCAACCTCGTCGTAATTTCTTCCGAGATTTATTTCATAAAATTGCGAGAGCAGCCATCGTATTTCGTTCGCGTATCAGCACCTCGATGTTCGTTCATCTCCTTGTAGCGAGAATATCTCACCTTAGACCTTAGTCGAGAGAAGCAAAACCTGCAAGAGCTGCTGTCCTTTCATAGAAACAGCTTCACTATACCTGATAAAACGGTTTTCCGTGTTTTCGCGGACGGCCTTCCGAGAACAGTCTTCTCGCATCCAATTTACATGTTTTTGCCGCGATATCCCTCGCGAACAGATGTAGCGAAAAGGGATCTATACACTTTACTCGCATCTCAACCTTATCGTATCTTATGAGAAAGGTATGACCAGAATGCACTTCCTTTTATCGGAGAGGCGCATAAATATCGCTCCGTTAAGCGGCGTCGTCCTTCGACGTGCACGTGTTTCGTAACGATTTCAAAATAAGGGAAGGAAAAAAGAGAGAGAAAAAAAAGACGTTGGCACTACTGAATAATTGCAAATGTCATTATTTTGCGATGACGCAAGTCTAGTCGAAGAATTGAAAATAATTGCTGACGTTAGTTCCCCTGCACGTTATATTTTACGTCGTCGAATCGTTAACAAAAGTCCGTATATCAGCGATAGCAACGAAACGGCGTATCTCTATCTTTCAGACGGAGATAACGGCGACTTATTTAAGTTGAAAGACAGCGTATAAAAAGACGTTTCGAATGACAATGCATTCTACGAAATACAATAATTCGCAGCTGGAATCAGCTGTATAGATTTTAAAACCATGATTTCCTGGATGAGGCATATAAAAAATATATATTTAAAAATCTAAGATTTCAATGGCTTTAAAGTTTTAGAAAATGTGATTCTATAAGAAATTTTTTCTTATTATCCTAGTTTTAATCTCTTCTTCTGATCAATTCCATTTTTAAGCTTTTTACTATTCGACCAAAATAAAACCATGAAAATTGTTATAAAACCATTTCGTCTGTACAATACATTTTTAATAATACTCTTGTATTTTAAGAAAAGTAAAAATATATTTGAGAATTTTTTTTAGAAACATATATATTTGCTTCAAATTATAAAATAAAAATATCAATTCAAAAGACTTTTTTCATCCAAAGTAAAGGATATAATAAACTATTTGCATTAATTATAAAAAGTGAAACCGTCTAAAATTCCAATTTCGCAATACAACCAACCTTGTTGGCCACCGACAGATGAATACTTTCAATGAATGCGCATCAAAATTTTCAGAATACTTGGTATCAAGCACTCTGTTTATTCTGTGGTATTCGGATTAGATATCATAGAAACGAAAGAACGCTAACGTTATTGCCAGTATTATCTACACTACCATCATCATCGATACACATCGTCATGTGTCATCTAATATGTACGTATAAGAACTGCTGGTAGCGTTCATCATCATGTCGGAGCGAGACAAGTAGAAACTGACCTGCAGAAACACGTGACAGTATCCTCAACATCGATGGAGAGCGACGTCTCGATGGCGGAGTATTTGAGGACCTTCCTGTTCCCCAGTCCGAACATCGGGACGCGAGCACGACGGTACCAGGGAGGCGCGGGCAGATGGGCCTGGGGCATAAAACGAAGAGGGCGGGAAGAAAAAGAGGAGGGAGGACAGGAAGGTGAATAGAAAGAGAGAAAGAAAGAAAAAGTAAAATATATATCTACTCTCCGCTCCGGTTGATTGGTCGGAATCACTCGTCCGGCCGCTAGGCCAGCAACGGAGCACAGACTGACATAGCCGTTCTCCAGACAGCGAGCAAGCAGGCAGGCAGGCAGGCAGGCAGGCAAGCAGGCAGGCAGGCCACCGTTCGCCAGGTACCACCACCGCGCGATCGTCCACGTCGCGGCAGTCCTCTCCACTGCCGCCGCCACCGCCGCCGTTGCCGCTGCCGCCGCCACGGCAGATAGAGAGAAAGCGGAAGAGAGAGGGGAAGACGCGGTTTATATCGCCGGAGGGAGAGAGGGTTCTGCCGTGTTCCAGCCGTTCCAGGAGGAAGCGGAGATCGGCGGGAGGGAGACGGAGAAAAAGATGGCCTGAGAAAGAGGACCAGGGGCTTCCTCAGGTCAGAGTATAGTAGAGTATACTCGCCGCTATATTTTCCCTCCCTTTTCGCGTCCCCCTTTCCTTCTCCTATACCTAGTCGTATCCTCGTCCGAGCTCAGACTCGTCATAATGCAATTAACGATTGAACCGAGCCGAAACCGAACAAGTTCTCGTTTGTTACGCGTGTTACGACGCAACGCGAGATCGCCCGATCACGGATTCCCAGTTGAACACTCCGTTGTCTGCTCCTCCTCCGTCAGGGTCGTTCCCCCGGTGAGCGCGCCCGACAAAAAGAAGAGCCAATCGAGATGTCACGAGAGAATTAACTTGGACCAAGAGCGATAGAAGCGAAGGAGTACTCGATAAACTAAAGTACAGAAGCCATTGAGTTCCGAGTAGAAAACAATTCGCCTTAAAGAAGGTATACATCCCAATAACACGAATGCATTTGTAATTTTAATGTTCGGAAAATGTGACAAGAGCAAATTCTGCGCACATATATTAGCGTTAAAATATATATGTACATATAACTTATATACATACATACATACATATGTATCATAAAAATAAAGCTGTACCAAGCACTCATAAATTATTTACACGCTCGAAAATTTTAAACGGTTTTATAAATAATGTAAAAAATTGGCCGAAACGCCGCCAAAACATAGCTGCGTGACACATGTATGCCTGAAAATTTCAACAACAAGTCAGTTTTGACCCAATTTCCGTTGTCTCGGAGGGCTAATCAATAAAATACATAAAGGTTTAATCGTCGACGAGTTTGCTACTGGACTGCTCCTTCGCTTATTGGCTCCGTGTCAATATGCTTGTATTCTATGTAGAAACAAATATTGAACACTCTTGCGAACATGCGGAAGAGCGTTTCGAATCAAAACGGTAATTGAAATATAATTTCGCGCATGTAAATAGCAATTTTCGGTGAGGGAACTCCTTTCAAACATTTTTTTCGCTATAAACCGGTTGTATAACGGGAGCGAGGATTATTCCGTAAATGGAGAACTAAAGGCGGAATATAACGTTTCTATTAATTGCGACATTGCAAGTGCTAATCTTGATAGTGCATCCGGACGGGCTTGGGACATAACCGGCGGATATACGTATACGTATATTGCTACACAACACCCGGCACTTAATGTATTCCATCTGTGAATAAATACATGATGCAGGTTCACGAGTTTCACATTGCAAATGTGAAAGGTTAAGGCCATTCAGTGCGTGTAGCATATTTTTCTGCGTTTGAAATCTGCTTTCGAAACTGTTCACCCCGTGACATTGATTTTTTTACGCACAATCGATTCACTGTACCCAGGGGTATAATAGGGTGTTCCATTTTTAGCGAATTAATCCCCCACTGACAGATTCTTTGGCGAATTTGGAGGTGATTCCATCGTAGGGGGAGAAAATGTCAAAAGAGATGGATTTTTTTACACGACTCTTCAATTTTCATTATTGAATGAGTAGTATTAATTTAAATTAGAAACAGAAGGTGAGAATCTTGCAAGGTACGTCATTGTTCCAACTACTCCAGTTCTGGTTCTAATTGAATCTAAAATGAAAATTGATATTCTGAAATGAAGCATTTATTCTCATATATATACATCATACAGCGGCCCCGCGATTTCACATCCATCAGCGAGAATTAATCACGTTTGCAACAACTCGCGAATGGATAATGTGGAAACGTGCGGTATTACGTATATATGCGATCGAAGAGATATAAGTTTATTGAAAATTTTGTCGAACGAATTACAGGACGCCGATGCGGGCAGTAACGTTGCGGTCTGAATGGCGGAACGTCGTCGAAAAACGAATCGGCGGAGGAATAATTGCCGAAAGGCGATAGTCACCAGGTGGAGGAGAAATATCGGTGCTAATTACGTCGATAGCGAATAGATATCGAGGTGCAGCACGGTTAGTTCGAACTGACCGATATACTGATCGTCGCCAATTGCGAACGAATGTTACAAGGAACGCTATTATTAGCGCGCGTTGGATCGGGAAAACCTGACGACACAGAATGATGCTTAAATTCGACAGACTATCAATATTCGTATCGACTCAACATCCAACATTATGAGCGAATTCAACGTATTTTTTTATCGAGCCCAGACATTGGTACTGATAAAAAATAAAAAGGAATATATCTTGAAAAACAAGAAGAGATGTATGGCGGAAAGATGATGGAATAAAAATTACATTTTAAAAAGGCAATCTATAATATCTAGCGTATACTTGTAAAATATTCGAACAGTATTCTTTTTTCCTCTCATCTGCAGCTTAAAAACGCTCTGTTTCAAAATTATAATTATAAATAAAGCAGGCTTATCTAATCGCGTTAAATGTTTCGCGAGCGCGACGACAACTTGCGACAGAATACCATTATCGATCTTCATCGTACTTTTAAAACGGTCGATATCGATTACTGATAACGAATGGCGGTTGTTATTCAGCGGAGCAAGAGCATTCCGCGAGGTCGATTATTTTTGCTCGCTCGCCCGTGAATCACCCGACATTTCCCCAGTTCACGAATATGCCTCTGCCAACATCGGAAGACATCGGATGACATTATCGTGAAAAATGAGCATGGAGATAACGAGGGTGCAGATGAATGTCAAGTAAATGCTACGACCTGGGCATTTACAGACCGCAACGCATCCTTCGGGAGTCTTTAGGTAATCAGGGCGCGTGAACAAGTCTCATAAAAAGCAACAACAAAGCTCTTAAACGATAATGTACATTCTGACATAATTATACTAAAGGGATGTGGAAAAAAAATTTAATTCCTGCGTTATTATTCAGCAATTTATCATCGTTTGACGGCGCCCACCTCTTTTTCCCCATCAGCTGATTAACTTCTTACGAGACGGTAAATCAAAGTGGAAAAAAGTGGTAATAGTGCTAGAGTCCAGCTATTAAAGAAATATTAAAAGCGAATGTTTCGTTAAAATTTAAATTTGCATGCGTCTTCGAATAAAATAAAATACATGTATTTTATTGTTTCATATACCTAAAATTTAAAGTAAACTCGTCAAACTTTGCAGACGTGCTCTTGAGCCGATTGGAAGTCTTCCCTTTAATAAAGCTTTAATTGAACGTTATCTCTCTCTGTCTTATACCTTCTTAATTCTCAGCATGAAATATCTCAACGACTAAGCTGAAATGAAAAACCTATTAAGAAAAAAATTGCCTTAAAAATGAGTGAAGATTAATTTTTATTTTTTAAGGGATAAAAGTAAATTCGCCCTTCGGGCCTTATCACAAGGCATGCGTCACGTTCGCTAGCAAAGGACGGATTCACGCCTAGCTTTACCGTGATTTTTTCGTATGCATAGTGAAGGTCTCGATAGCACGACGACGGAGTGTTACGGTGATATTTTGTGATAAACGCGATAACTCTGTTTATACGGAAAAACTAGCGGGATGCTCACGTGTAATCGCGAGCATCGGTTGGCAGAGCTGCTGCTATCGTAAAAAACTAGCGATAAAGCAGCGGCCGTGTATCGCGTGAAATAAAGTGTAAAAAAAATATTATAGGTGCGTTTAAATAACAGACGTTCTCTCTTGTTCGCAATTCCAATGATCCAGATGAGCATTATTTTGAAACTCGTTAATACTAAAACCGAAATTAAGGAAACGTGAGGTTACACTATAATTAAGCGTTCACGCGTAATTAGAATAATTCCTATATAAGCGCATTTTTTCCAGATGTACTGAAACGTACTCAGAGATTAGATTGTTCCGATCTCTCGTATTTAATTAGTACCTTGCAGGTTATGAAACTGTAAATGTGTTTTGTTTCGTTAAAAAAAAAACATGATCATTTCCTAATTATAACAAATTAAGAATATACAACGAAAGATTATTATTTTTTTTTAATCATAAATATACAGTTTGTAAAGTAGAAAACGATTACATAAATTAGAAGAGATTTGAAAATACAGTTTCTGATTAATATCGATTCTACGTAAATAAATAAGAAGAATCAGACGTCGATCTTTTAAACTACGTTGTCGGATTTAGGATTTATATAAACTAGAAACTGCAAACATCAGCGTACTTCGCGATAGCATACGTGCTGCGGCAACTACAGTCAACAAGTAAATGTTTGCGTAATAAAACGCACGTGCCGACTCTTTATACTTCTATACTTCGATAAACTTATTGCATTGCGCTATATCAAGTATTATTATTTGAAAAAAATAATCTCTCTTCTCGTATTTTATTCCGGTCGAGGTAGAATCCACATAAGTGATTAAAAATAAATAAAATACGTTCAAATACGTCCATGAAATTCTGGAAACGCGTTTGATGTTAATTGTGCTGTATTGATGCATTTTCGACATTATTAAATGATATTACCGAAGTAAAACACGTATGAGAGCCGCGGATAAAACGGATTGACAAGGCAGCGCTTGATATTCTCGAACGTAGAAATGAATATATTATGGGCACGTGTTTAATTCACTCAATAGCTCGTTCTATTGGCGTACTTATACCTAATTTACCTATTGTTTATTCGCTTATACCACTTACATCTCGTTGTACAAATCGATACAAATTACGAGCCAAAAATAAAAAAAAGAAGGAATATGTATACTGCATGTATCGATTCGCTACCAATTCATAATATTCCGCAATCGGAGAAAATTTGTTTAGTACAAAATATTTGATGATTCACTGGAAAAAAAATCAAAATTATCGACACGTGTTGTTATCAATTCGACATTTTAATGTCATGTATTCCTAGCATTCTGAATTAATTCTTTCTGCCGAACGACTCATCTGATAACAAATGTTCAGACAAGTGTAAGAGAATTCGATGGTTCGGAAAACTAGTATTTACTTCTTCAGTGCCTCTTCATTATGGAAGACAACCTGCGCTACGTTGCTGTAATTTTTCAGGCGGTGATTACATTGATTAATCACGTGGGATAGACATCTTTATGAGTTACATCACGCATACACGTAAACATCCTTTCCTGTGTTCATCAAACGGATTTAAATTTACCAAATCGTGCCGTAATCGAGAAGATTAGCATCGTCAGCGCGAACGAGCCAAGTCTCAAAAGTAAATATCTTTTGAATTAGCCCGAAAATTGCGCGACCTCAGGTAGAAGGTTTTTTTTTCAAACGAGAAGAGATATACAGGAAATAAGTAAACTACACGTAAACTCTCTGACTCCAAAAAACCGTTCATAAAAATTTCAAGGCACTCTTGATCTGACCTCATTCATTTGAAATTCATTTTAAATACGTCTTTATCTATTTATCATTCGTTTGGGACAAGGTCGAGCTGCGAGATGCAAGATCGAGTTGATGCTCGGCTTCTCTGCTCGCAGTCGAAACTGATCATCGCTTATATCGCGATCTCACCAGAATTCTCCGAGGATCGAGAAGATCGGCACGCGCGACACATCGCGCTGGAAATGTCACGTCACGAACGTTTTGGCGAACGCGCAACCGTGCGTGAATCACTGAGGAAGCCAATCGCACGGCGAGAGATCGAGGTGAGTCATCGCTACGTTCGGTTTCACGCCAGCGGACAAGAGACTTTGCTCGTTCGCTAGAGACACACGGACTGCCGTTTCCAGCAAGTATTATAAATTAACGCGAGATACTGCCCTCCGAGTTTTGAACGAGGAACGAAACAAACGGCACCGAAATATCCCATGTCACAGTCCGAAAAGTTACGAAAGAAAACGATCTTTTTTGTTATGTAAGAATCGAAATTGTAAGAATTGAAATGTAAGAATCGAAGAGAGAAGAAAACAGTATATCTACTTTCCATCGATTTTAGAATATTTTACAAAATCAAAGAACTTGACTGTACTTAATGTATAATTGTTATGTGCAAGTGCCGTCTTGTAATTCGCGGTTTCATTTGTTGACAGCAAGCTTCTCATAATATGCATTCAACACTCATGTTTTCCGACCCTTGTGAACCGATAATACGATAACGATTTTACACGATGCAGCGACGTATTTGCGCTTTAACAACGTCCGTTTAACTCCGATGGCAGATACCGCTAATTAAATCATCAGCCCAAAGGAAAACGTCTGGGTCGGAGGGGCCTTTAAAGTGATATCATCGCCAAAAGAAATGCGCATAAAGTGCGAAACGTCATTAATTTTCGAGAGTTAATCGACTCATCCTTTTTCGTTAAAGATACGATTGAGAAAGTAATGATTCTATATATGGAAACATAAATACGGAAAAAAAACGTTCTTTCGTACGTGGAGAGTTTTCAAGAAAATCGATTTTGTCAATTTTAATAATTTCCTTATTTAAGTTCGGATAATTTTTAACTTCCTGACAAGACGAATCATCCCCAATAGCAGTTATCACGATATCAGTTATCAAAAAATAAAGGAAACAAATTCGATATCCTATTAGAAATGACAATAAAAAATAATTGAAATTGATAAATGTGTTGTTGTTTGCAAAACATCGAGGTCATGTATATTTCTCTAAACAAGATACTGCATTTTATTCATGTCCTGGTAAAAAAAAAATTGTCGCTCGTTGTTAACGAACACGTCGATTCATGGCACTGTGCCATGACAAATTATGTAAGCTTACGTATAAAAAAAAAAACCAGAAAAAAATGATTATCCCAAAAATACACATGTGGTCTGAACGAGAATTGACAGAATTGATAGAGAATCAAAAACATTCCTCAACTGTATATATTTGTTACCTATATATGTATGTATGTACTGCGAAATAATTTATTAAAAGATTACGAAAATGTTTACGGTCGAAATACAAAGGCGTTCGGATCTTACAAAATCGATTTTAAATTCGGTGAAAGCAAAATGAAATCCACAATTATTCGTGCGATGCTATTTCGTCGCGGTGTGAGTGGAAGAAATCAGCATGCAAATTTTAATACATAAAATAGTGTGTCACGAAGGGAGGGGGAGGGAAGGGACCTTATGCATAAATTTCCCAGTAAAAAGCTCGGGGAGCTCGGAGAAGTAGCTTGCGATATCCCGGTAGAATGAAACTGGAGGATCGCTGATCCATCATCGATTCAACGGTAATTGTAACACGAATTCTTCTTATGTTATACGAGCGGTTCGCATGCTCGCGAATTAAGTCTGATAAATGTGACTCCGTCGTACTCGATATCGCCTTTGTTATCGTCGAGTATTATTGTACACTTAACGCTACGCAACGAAAAATAAGGCTAAGAGACTGCAAAAATAAT